GCACGAAATAAAGGCACAAAGGCTAAAAGGAATAGGTAGTTAGGGTAAGCATTGGTACTCCCTTGAATTTCCCTTTGACCGTGTGAAGCGAGGAAAGATTTTGCCGGGCGGTGTATTGATCGATCTGCGAAAATCCTTCCTGTAAAGCCCAGTCAGTCCATCTCGGTTCCACATTTCGTGAATTTTATGTTCCATTCACCAAACACCATCCGCCTCATATACGTATTGACATTTGACGTTCCACTCCCCTTGTATATTTACACATCAATCCTACCATTTGACTTTGTTTGTTTATCTGCTTCAATTTTTACCTTCAAGTTGCGATTAAATCGCGACTTGAGCGCTCAAATTTGGCTTGCTCATGTGCAGTGTGACGGTGAGCGTGCTATTCTTATCCAGGCTCATTTTCTTCCATTCAGATTTGTTGAATTATGCTCATAGTAACACTTGGCTCTTGTTTTGAAGTTGTTTCGAGATCACTTTGAGGTTTGCACAGTTTTATTTGCTTATTTGATCTCTCAATAATGCAGTACCGTAGAAATTTACCGGATCGTTCGTTGTGTTGACGTTTTTGGATCCAATTTCGGCTACGCGTTGCTCGTTGATCTATTTGGGAGTTACATCGGGCGTGCTTTATGTTTGAGCGGATCACGTCGCACGGCTACTTGTAGGAACCGTGGCGGATGCGGTTAAAATCATTGTTAAGGAAGCTATGATACCCTCATGGAATCTATACGAGAAACGCAGATACCGGCACTCTCAAAACCTGGCGTATATCTACTATCACAATCGAAGGGCAATCAGGTGCGGTCCGGGGTAACATCAGTGGGCATAATGTTATCTCTTATGCCAAGACGTAAGATCGATACGCGCGCCTCTTTGTCTAGGCCCCAACAACTGGAAAAAAGAACATTGCTGAGAAAAGACAGTCAGAGTGTATTCTTGATCATGAAACGACAAGCAAATATGTGTGATAAATTGAGCGTACGCGAACAGACGTGGTGATGCGCCACTCAGATCGTGAACTTGACACTTAGGTTGATCGATCGGACGACAGCTATTTGATTCGCCTTAGTCGTTCAATCAGGAGTCGATTTGGCTTAAGCATCACGAGCTCACTTGTGATGAGACGCGGGCAGCTGCGTGGCAGGACGTATTCTATGGGCTCCGTCTTAACACCTCCCCTTTTGGGATGTACGTTCGCTATTTGGGGTTCGTTTGCAATATTGTGGTTTGCGTCCGTTTTCCGCTTGTACGCCGGCTTGGTAAAATTTGTGGTTGTTGCTGTACTTAACTTGGCTGTGATGCTCTCGGCAAACTAAAGGTTTTCAACAGCATGTCGAAGGGTAGTGGTGGACTTTGAGTCCTTTCTTCGTGGCATTTCGTTGACCTTAATAGATTTACGTGACGCCACCAAACTTTTGGCTGTACTTGTACCTCATAAAATTCAACTTCAAGTTCTCTCAGAATTCTGCCAGTTACCCAGCGAGAACCGTCCTTTCCTTAGCATCATGCTAACACTGCTTTATTTGGGGCAAAGGAACGATGCAAGGCTCCGTGTCGACGATTGAACTATTCTTCCGTTTTTCGGTTCTTTTCAGTGTTGTAGGTGGTTAGGCGCAATAGGTTAAACGGCATTCTTAACTTTCGGTTTATCAACGCCTCTGCTAAGGAAACTCCTTTTAGTGAGTTCGGATTTGGAGTGCATCGAGAAAGGAACAGAAGGCTTTCGATGACATCTGCGGTTGCTTCCTCCCCTTTTGATTTCTGAAGTGCCCGCTTGGAGGTATCCACAAATCTTTCTGCTTGGCCGTTTGATTGTGGATGATACGACGGAGGGTGTACGTGGGTAATGCCATTAAGCTTACAGGATTCCCTAAATTATTATGATGTGAACTGAGTGCCGTTGTCGCTAACTGGTGTTTCAGGGATACCAAAACGACTGAAAAGCTGCCGGAGGTTTGCGATTGTTGAGGATAACGTAGGGCTATCCACGTGGAAAATCTCGGGCCATTTGCTGAAGGCATCGATGTTGATAAGGTAAGAACGACCATTGATCGGTCCTGCAAAGTCAACGTGAATACGGGACAAGGGTTTGTCAGGAATTGGCCAACTGGAAAGCTTGGCTTTTACTGATATCTTGGACGCAAAGGCGCACTGATGACAGTTTTGGACGAGTTCTTCCAGTTGTTTATCAATAAACGGCCGATAGACTTAACTACGGACGAGTGACTTCATGCGGTTGATTCCCGGGTGTCCGGTGTAGAATGGTTGGAGCACTCTTTTCTGTAGCGTCGTTGGAACC